GTCTCTCGTGAGAACCAAATTGATTTGCAAATGAGTGTATTCCTCGAAAACCATTTTGCTCAATTTTTCTATGGTTAAATAACTAGCCAAAGAATTTGTGATACGAACGTGGAAATGCAGGACGCACATAACAGAAAGTGAGGAAATATGTTCCCCCTTATAAAGGGTACCCCCAAACAGCGACTAGTTTAAGCATATCCTTGGACTGGTTCTTTAAGGGGCGACCAATCATGCAATTTGTAACGTGCTTATCAAAACTGACCTGTTATCAACCTGATAAGTACGGACTACAAAAACCTTGTTCCCATAACATTTTGATACGCATTTTACGCGGCAACTCTTTGGCCGTTCTTTTTTTCGATAATAGATGCATTGCCAGTGGGTTAGCACGCCGAATGCACAGCTAAATAGTCTTCACGGATGATCTCCAATTATTGGTGGAACGAATGCTTTTACTGCGGAGTTCTTCACTAGAGAATCACCAATTGAACAGCTACTGATTATTGGACACGGAAGCAAAACTCTCATATGCATCTTGTTTACAAAACTGAATATCAATCTTGCCCTTGAACGCGTCTTCCTGAAATTTCCTGTATATTCATTGAATGTCACCCAAATGCAAGCAAATGCTACACAATTTCCGTAATAGATCTCACTTTTCAGGAGACGCGAAGCGGATTTACGAGAAAACATACTAATCGCGCGCCTCATCAGTAGTATCCACCGTTACATTAATAGACATAAATTAAGGGAAAATAAGAATCTGAGAGAGAGTTAAGCATACTGGTGCGTAGCCGCTTGCGGCCGGACGGTCACATCTTCAAAGACGAGCAGGAAGGTTGCGGATACGAACCTTTTTGAATTCTGTGAGATGCGGTTGATGTATGGAAACAGTGCCTCTTAGTTTTTCAACTTAGATTGGCTCCAGTGACAGAACAAAATCTCCACTGAATAGGGACAACCCCAGGCGTGATTTGAACACAGTGCATGAGTTAGTAAATATACGCAACTCCATCTTTCCTGCGTTACCAGCAAGCTTTCACCCGCTTTGACAGAAATTTGCTCCATCTTCTCCGTTAAACTTAGTAGTTTAAAATATACGTCAAACGGTTTGAGCTGTTGAAAGCCAGAGGAAACAAGGAGATTACTTTATGAGGCTTTCGCACCGAGTTTTCCAAAGACAGGAACCGTTCCGATATCGTAGGCAGTAAACAAATGTGTGGCCACACACCTGACTCAAGAATCGGGGTGGAAAGTCTTAGAACGAAAAACTCGCTTGAAACGAATCTGTACACAGATCGCAATCTAGAATGCTAATTTGATGACCTTTAAACAGTGAAAAACTTGCGATGAGCTGTCGATGAATTTTTCTCAAAACTACCACATGATGTACTCGGAGCGAATTTCTTGAATTCAACCTTGAACTCGCACAAATTGCAAGCTTCCCACTTCCGTGAATCTAGGGGTTTAATTTAAAGCAACTGTTCGCAAATAATTCGCCTTCTTGGGTCAGTTCAAATCGTCTTGGTGCTCTGTGTCATTGCTCAGATGTGATTTGGACGACTGGACAGTGAGCTTTTGAACGCATTTGTTAAAAAAAAGAGATCTCATAAGTGCACACAGGCAGAAGCAGTATTGACGAGTTCTTCCAAGAGGATACTGGTTGTCTACGGTTTTACCAGTAAGCACTTAGTAAAAATTTCTAAACCATCTATTTTCTCAACATCCGTGTGGTAAAAATCGATCGGAAAATAGAAAGAAATAAGCCGAACCAACGGAAGTCTACAACACTTACGTCATTAGTAATTAGCGATGGAAGAATATAGTCTCGGGTAATTAGCTTCTACCCCTCCCCCACACACACCTATTGACGTGGAAAGACCAATCTCAGTGTACCTACATTGACTTTCCAGTGAGTGGGCTGCCATTAGATAGCAACGGATATGAATAAAAGAGTGTAAGTAAACGGGCTGAAAGGTAACAGATGAAATCCTGATTCGAACTATTGGATTATCTTAAGCAAACCGAGGCATTTTGAATTGAAACACGCTGCAATGCACAAGAGTACAGGTAGTTTGTACCCATGTACCAATCTTTGGATTGGTGAGGCTTCACTAGCTGCAAACGCATGTTTATTTGGAGTTCCAAGGTGACGATGTCTCAAAAATGTCAGAAAATAGAACCTAAAGGGGGACTTTTGTCTTTTTTCCTCAACTCCTCCAAGTTTTCTGGTAATGGACGCCGGTTAGGACGTTTCACGTTGTTGTGGCGTTAAGTTTTCTTTACATATGACAGAGGTGTGTACAGAACCCATCGTTTATTGCTTTTTGTTTCGCATTTTGAAAGATTTTGGGAGATATAGACAAGATCTGATTTCTTGTCATATGTTATTATTTTACCAATTACATATTATCGTAGAAATTAACAGCATTTATGTAGCTTTCTATATTTAAAGCATTGAGTCCGCTTAATCCATATGGATGACAGAAACAGAAGACTCAAACTGCTGAATGTTTTTTCATCAACCGCGGAATAATTACAGTCCCATTCTTACCAATTGAGCAAAAATGAACTATGAGTGCAGTCACTCAACACGTGAACCAATCATGCCGACAACGTAACTGCGTAGATCATAGTCTTCGGGGCGTATGAGACTGGTTGATGGCGATTAACTGGTTCAATAAACCTCGACAAGTCAGGGTGGAGCATGATGCTGAACCATGATTTGTGATCAACCCGATAGCCGTCGGCTCATACATAGTTCTGGAATCCAGTTGACTGTTCAGTTAGCTGAATCAAGAGACAGGATAAGTATCCCACTACGCATCGCCAGTGCAAGTTTCATCGCAGCTGCAGATGGATAGGTAGGTAATCTTACGTATTCTACTCCTCAGTCTGTTGTTTCTCGTTGGAATCAAGAGTAGCTAAGCGGCTTGCTAGGTGCAACCAAATGCAACGAAAAGATTTGGGCCGTGTAACTCCCCAATACAAGTACAACACCCTTCTGAACACCTGTGTGAAAGAGGTTTATAAAGCTGGAAATTCTCAGTTCACTCATTATTCCGGTAAGCTCTTATAATGCAGTGCGGAATGTCTTCAAAAATTTTTAAACGCAAACCGAGTATTTCATGGAAAAGCTTTTACCCTAAGAAAAATGTTGAAAGCTCAAGTTCAACAGAGATATCAAGCTGGATATTCAATTCACAATGGAAGAAGAAACCGATAGGAAACTGGCATTCCTGGACATCCTGATCACGAGGTTACCAAACGGACAACTGCAGACGGAAGCCTACAGGAAAGCAATGCACACAGACTGAATTATCAGCTACCAAAGCGATCACCCCAACTGTCACAAGCAAAGCTGCATCCGGACTCTGTTCAAGCGTATTGAGACGCACTGCAAGAAGTCAGCAGTCAGGGAAGAGAAACGCTTGTACAGTGCTTTTCAGAAAAATGGATAACCAGGAAATTTCATCTGGCGGACTCTGAGAAGTCCCAATTTGCCCAACCCTACATCACAAGGAGAAGGCCAGCGGAACACACTTCCATATATCAAGAATACTTCGGAAATGACAACACGCGTGCTACGACAGTACAACGCAACCTGCAAACACCCTAAGGAGAACACTATGAAGCCCAAAGGGATGATTCGACACAATGTGTAGGACCAACGTCTAGTAAAAGATCCAGTGCGAAGATTGCGACAAAAACTATGTGAGACAAACAGGAAGGAAGCTTTGTAGTATACTACTCATAAGGTTGCTGAAAATCCGTCGACAGCCCACAACCGGTTTCGCCATTTTTGGGGCTCATCAGGTAGGCGCCGGCCCTTTTTGAGGCTCATCAGGTAGGCGCAGTCCCCGAGTTTCCGTCAACCTTATGTTCTACTTGAAACCAAATTGCACGGAATTAGCGAATATACACTCATTTGCAAACTATTTTGGCTGTTCGAGAGACTCACCTGGAACCCAGCTGAATCTCTCGTTTGTGATATTTTCAGGCCTCAGGAAGGAAGCTTTTTACCAGGATAAATAAACAGAAACTTGCAACCAAAAGACAACCAATTTTTGCTCATCTCCGTACACGAAGAGCAAGATGGACACAAATTTAGCTTGAGCATCGTTTACATATTGGCTCAAGCGAAAACAAAGAAAAAACGTGAATTCATAGAAGCATGTCATTTAGCTGAAAAGGCCATCCACAAGCACATCGAAATTGATCGAATCTATCGGCCAATGCAAACAAACGAATTACGGAAATGTAGAAAAAGCAGAGGCAGACAAAGTAACAAAGAAACAAACAAGCAGGCTGAAGCAAGGAAGCTACCGAAAATAGAAGCCTTCATCACAACTGACCAGATTCAAGGAAGGAAGATCACAACCAAACACAAACCGGGAACGGACCAACTGCAAACAGGTCCGAAGCACCCCAAAGCAGCCATCCAACAAACCAATAGAATAAGAGGCATGCAGACCCCAACGCAGCACAAAATCACGCTTGGTCGTACAATAATGTAACAGAAGGTATATGGCACAAAATCACGGTCGGTCGTACAATAATGTAACAGAAGGTATATACCGAATCGCCAATCACATGACAGGATACCATATACTCTTCAAAACCTACACAAACGCAGCTATGCACGGAGGAAGCACCCATTCAACTGCGCACTGACGATGTCTCCTAGACGGGGGACAAAACGTTTGCAAGCCAATTGTAAAGCTCGGCGAACAGATCAACTGCCATCTGACCAATCACCAGTAAGTTCAAGTCGTGTATATGTCGGCTTTTCTGATTCATCAGCGGATGAGCTGAGATCATCCGGCCACAAGCGGCTGGTGAACAATGTGATTAACTGTGAAGGAACAATGCGCCACTTATCCTTCAGTCACGGAATTCACCCTACTTAGTCACGTGCCTTCTGGCCTCTCGAGTGCATACATTTCAGATGGAGGGCTCACATGTCGAGTAGATTACTCTTCTGATTCAGATGCCTATAGTTTGTTACAAAAACCATGATGACTTCATAATACGAATGCTGTCAACTTCAGAGTGCTCATAGGCTGAGAAACCTTTTATTTCTCTGAAATTTTTCATAGTTGACAACTGTTGAGACATCACGTTCGCCGTTAGCCACTAGATAGTACATGAAACTGAGCTGAGTATATGTTTGTGGGTTTCCGCGCTAGTTATCTGCGTAATTTACTTGGAAGTTTCATAGAAGATCTGTTGCTGTTTTGTGAAAGCGAACAGCATTTGCTTACAGCATGGAATGTGTCCTGTGAGTAAAGCCCATCCATGGTGAAAAGTCTTGAAAAACTGCACAGCTGTTTCACTCCTATTTGGGACTTATCAGCAGTGCGCATCTAACGAAAACATTTGACCGTTCGCCACGAATGGTCGACCGTTGAGCCACCCTACTCGTGCCGACCAACTGTGTCTTCCCAGGTGGTAGCAAATTGTTAGTCAGCGCTGTTGCAGTCGGAATAACAGCACAAACTGAGCTGCGTAGTGACCCTTTGTAGATCAGGCGTTCGATTATGTTGTTTGGTTCAAACTAGGTGTCAGAGTGGTTCACTTAACGGGTCATGTTCTGTAATTACGGCTTTCCTCAACCCCCTTTACCATCACTTGAATATCCATTTTGATTCCTTTCAGATACGTTCAGATCTTTGTTACGTTTAATCAGTTAAGCGAAAGATACCAGCTCAGAAAAAAGTTACCCATAACACTTTGACAGTGTAAATTTAACGAAAATGAATAGAATGAGATTCAACTCCCACCTGCCCCCCGTATAATTTAGTAACAATATTTTCTCTTTTCACGAGGATCGGTGACACCAGACCCACAGCGAAGCGACCAACTGGAATACGGAGCTGAATGACAGCTCACAGTCTAACACAAACGTGTAACTCACAACTCTGCGAGCACCCATGGTCACTAGGTCGTCCTCAGTTACCTGGTAAATTATCTAGACAGCCGGCTGAAAGGCGATTTTTGTTGGCCGAGTATAGACGCGCTTTTGGGTGCTTCGATTAGCATCCACTCCGCAGTGCAAAATGAAACATCGCTCGCCGATTAGGTATTTTGGTACTACCCAAAGCTGCAAAGCTGAATTAATTATTTGGCCAAGGTGCCGACAAAATCAAGTTTTGTTCACTTGTACCCAATTTTTCTGACGCTCAGAATCCTCCGTAGATCCTTCCCCTCTTTTGAACAACTTTTCTCAAAATATGAGATCACTTCAACTAAAAACAGATAGGAAAACATGAAATGGACATAAATAAAGCGCTCACATGTTGTCAAAAGTTAACATAAAATCTCCCTCCATGCTCGAAGAATTCAGAAAGTAAGGAGCTCCAGAGAAGACAAAAAACAACGCCCGATTTAAAACAGGAATTTATAAACCGGTAAGACCAATATAATTTGGGAGACTATTATACGGAGACCAGCCGTCCTTAATAACCGAACACCACATCATTTGAACGGATGTGTCACGTGCAGGAAACGGGCCAAACGAAGACATGCCCCGATTGGTCAGAATGTCAGCCAATCCGAGTCAAGCACCCTTGACTCGACGCTTCTCGCCCCCTCACGGATTCCATTACGGAGATTCTGGCATGACCTTGTGGAACACCCTGTGACTACTCTATAAATACAGTTGTAATAATTTTCCTTCGTCTCCGTAAAGGACTGTGTAGAGCTACCGTGCCTTTTGATATACCATAGTGGGCGGAGCAGGAAGCCAAGGGACCGATACAGAGTTGCACTACCGTACATCAAGACGCAACAACTATGATGTGACTAAGCCAGAATGATCCATCCCCCAACTTAGCGGAGGGATAATTGATAGGTCGAAAGGAACGCCATCAAAAAATCACAATCAGCAATGTGGAGAAACAACAAGGAAAGAAAAATGGACCCAAAATAAAGGGAAATGTAAGGCGAGGGAAAATGTGGTGAAACAACTCTCCTGTAGACTAATAGAAATTCCTACAGGTTACAACCATAATTGTTTGCATAAGCAAAGAAATCTTCATACCAGATGTCACAAGAACCAGAGAAATGTGATTAAACAGGGGTAGTTGATCGGACCCTCTGGGGTTGGGCTCTGAATTGGGGTCACGTGATGTCGTTAATCGATACTGTGCTGTCTCGTGATCAATGACAGGAGTGAAACATCCTTAGTCATGACAGGCAGAAAGCCAAGCTTTTCATCGCGCGATTATGGCGTTTTACTTTTTATCGTCACAGCTCCTGCTTCCGTCAGAATTCTAATTCTTGATCTCTGAAGTAACTTTTGGGCCGACCTCGTTGATAACAACTGATCATGACTGCATCAGAACACGAGGAAATCGTAGGTTCGGATATGTGCTTAGGCAAAGTTATTTATCTTTCAGGAGGTGCGGAGGGTATGGAATGAGCTAGAGAACCGGTAGGCACACAGAGATTTCACCAGTGAGGTAGATTACCTCGCATCAAACAGCTGTTAAGTTTTAGTTGGAGGTAGTCGACCCAAACCGCCATTGAAGTGCACTCAAGGTCTACCAGCTTCATAGGTGCATGCTGGTCGAGCGCCTTTTGTGCTGACGGCTTCCACAAACCTACTATGCCACTCAGTGCTATGGAAAACATGTCCTAAATGCATGTCTTTTTTACTTTATTGAACAGGCGGCGAACTAACATGCGTTTCCGTCAGACTGTTCAAAACCCGAAGATGTTGGAATCCTGTCCAATTCATGTTGACTTTTTTCGTGTAAGTTTGCATTGACACCTGAACATTCGGTCTACGAAGGGAACACGGTGTGATCCTTTGGTAAGTATGCTGAACATTTCGCGCCATTTGGCATTCCCTAAATGTCATCGCTGGCGAGTACCGTGATGTGTCTAAACAATTTAATTACACTGCGCTTGACAGTGGAGAAATTTTCAAGACTGAACATGTCTGCTTGCCTACATACATATTTCGGTTGCTGTTCACAAAAAAAAACAATTTCAGACTGCCGTCTAATGATTCGGGTGACGCGACGTTATTCGGGTGAGATTAGGCAAAACAACATCTGGCGCATTGTGAAATTCCAGTCAGTCAGTGCCAATTCGCCTGAAACGAAAACCTGAAAGTTTTTTCTTCCTTCAGAGCCCAAGGATTCGCCGGTCATTGAGAGTCTACAAAGACATCTAGTCACCTGAATCATAGACGCCACTGAAAGAGGGCCTATGCCATAAGAATTTTGAGTAGTCCATTCATTGCGCTTTTTTTGACCAATGGAACAATTGTAGATGATAGCCAGAAAAACTCAGTGAATCCAAAATCCAAAGTTTAGGCAAGAAAATCGATAAATCACTGAAAGAGGTTTTCAACTCTGAGAAACCTTACAGAATCTCGGTCGCGTCCCTGTTGTAGGATAACAGAAGAAGGCCAGAAGGTAAATATTGTTCTCTGTTGCACTGTGAGGTGCTTTCCGACACCCGTTAGGGTATATAAGCTT